AGGTAAACTCTTACAATTCTATTGTCGTGTTAATATTGTATCTTCATTTGGATCCTGATATTAAAAGAAAAACAAACCACAAAACAAAACCAAAAACCAACCACAAAGCAACCTTTCCAAGTGTCACATCTCTGTTTAGCAGAACGTACAGCCCTTTGGAAATTATCTACTGATCTTTGTTTGATATCAAATGTCCTTGATATAACTCTGTGACTCACACAACTTTCATCTCAATAGATAAAGACTGCATATCCTGGTTAGGCAAAGATAATACTTGGTATAGAAGATCAGTACCATTGTTCTTTAACATCGTACTTAATTTTTTTTATATATACCCTAGGCATATTATCTAATTCTAATCTGGCACTTCTCTGAGATGTCACTAAGATATTTTCTCGGGGAAATAAATAAAGTCTGACTTAATCATTAATGTGAAATGGTGTGGGAAGGTATTTTTAAAGTATAAGCACGAAGAACGAGTGTATCATGTGGGGCTTACAAACTGTCAGTGTAAATACCGTTGTAAGATTCATGTAGTCATATAAGATTACTAAACTCTCGGGTGATATTCTAGTGTAACACCACCTACATAGTTCATCAGCTTCAGAAGAGCTGCACAGATACAAATGAGAGTAGAAGCTGACCTTTCCAATTCACATACTGAGTCACAACTTCATCTCGAAAGCTGATGTAATCGTAATGCACTGCACCTTTACATCCATTTTATCTTCCTACAATTCTCCTTACTAAAAATAAACCTCTTCTGGAAAGTTAAAGTGGACATGTGACAGCGGCCACTTTGGATAAGCCCCAGCACTCAGACACTCCTCCTTATTAATGGTTCCATTGTAGTTCTGCCTAATGCTCCCCAGCACCAGCATCTGCTTTCTCCTAGATTACCTGGAGTCAAAACAATTGATAAATGCAGCAGAAGAAAGCTCCCAGTTCACTGCCTGCATTGTTTTTGCCTTTTCCTTTGCGAGTCATTTAAATCTTAACAAAAGAGGGGACCAAACGTCTCAGTTTGGTTAGTTGGAAATTCTCAGGCATCAGATGGATTTTAAATGCAGTTTGGCAAGGCAGAAATGTCAGGGTCACTCAGTGCTACATCAGGAGAACAAGAGTGTCTTTAAAATTTTTTATGTCAGCTGGAAGATGCAGAGATGGGTGGACAAAAAGTTATTAGGACAATGTTATTAGCACAACCTTTTGATCCTATGACCATGCTATTTAAATCTGCAAATGGAGAGGAATCTCTAGGAATGAAAACAATGCCTGAGTGCCATTTCCTAGGTCTGTCGACACCAACTGTAATGTAAGACCTTCTGCTTTTCTTGCCACCTAATAGAGCAACACTGTATAGGTCTAGAGTTTATATTATGATTCCTCTATTCCTGCTGGCACCTTCAAAATTATCTTGTCATAAAAATACTATTTTCCAGTGAAAAGATAAAAGGTATTTCTTTAAAGTGGCTAGCGAGGTCAGTACTAGTGATTTCTTTATCAGCTTGTTGTTGATGGTATTATTTAGAAAAGAGCCTTGGATAACGTCCTTAATATAGCACTGTAAATGAACAGACAGATTAGACTTTTAAACGTACATGTTCAAAATTTTGTGAACTAAATTGAGATAGAGAGTGGGTGGTGTATGGATGCCTACCACTGCATATATTAAGCCATGGTTTCTGTATGTGCAGTCGTTCCCATTTGCTTCTAAGGATTGAAGCATTTGCTGTGTACAGATATTTAGAGTAGGCAAAACCAAAAGAACTTCCTTTTACAAATGGTGTCCGATGCTTCCCATTTTGAACTCATACCAGTGTCCACATCACAGAAGGATGCACAAGGCTGCAGGCTATTTGAAGAAATGTCTGTGTGTATGTTTGTTAAATTTCAGTGCTCGAAACTTTCATTCACCATGTCTGTCTTAAACTCGTCGGATGAGGAAGACCAGCCTAGTAATAAGGACACCCTCAGAAGTGAAAGATGTGGGTAAGAGTTCCCGCAGCTTCACCCTTAGCAAGTGAGCAAGAGAGTAAAAAGAAAGCTGCACCACACCTCCCACGGTAGATTCAGCGAGACATGTTGGGAATGTTCAGATCAAGAGAAAAATATGAGAAATACCCTTGTTATGGATTCTGGTGGAGTTTACATGGTGACAGTGCTCCACAGGGACAAGGCTGAGGTGCCCCCATGCATGCCAGAACTTGAGGTGTCTGGGGGAAATGGCAGGTGAAAATGTGAGCACCTCCAGGATTAGCTGGCAAGTTGATGTTTTGATGATTTAAGTACCATTTAATTCTGATTTTTTAAAAGCCTGTAAACGGCTTTCTTCTACCCTACTCCATGTGGATCGCCTGTGAAATTATTTACAGTGGGCGTGCATTTATATCAAGTCTCTTTCTACCCTTTTCACCACTACCCACATGCCCGTACAGTATTCTCATTCTCTCCCAAGGCTACAGAACCATCAGGTTTTACCTGATGACAAGAGCTGAACTCAACTGAAATTTCTGAACTGTGTTCTCATCACGTCAATCAGTTTATATGGGTGTTCATCTGCATCTCATGTTGCCTTGACCAGGCTAGTCCAAAGCTTATTGTGGTGTTTGGGGTTTTTTTTCCCTTTCTTATCACAGGATTTTCTCTTTTTTTTTTATGCCAGTCTTTGGTTTGCTAACTTTGGGGAATCTGTATTTTCAAGCTGGTTATGTGAACTACATTGCCTACAATCACCAGTGAGGAAAGGAGTTGCCTGGGGTTTTTTTGTTGTTGTTCTGTGAAATATTACTACGGTTGTGGGAGAAGAGAGGCTTGAAAAAGCCAAAAAGCAAGAGTATTACACAAGTTTATGATAAGAAGTTAGGCAACTAAAATTACCAGAAGAGAGGAAGTCGAACTCTACTAAGGCACCCTGATTGTGTAAAGTACAGCAGAAGCTGAATTACTCCAAACAGCCATGTTCCCCGTGTATACCACAAGGACATATCCAGAACTCACTGAATGTGTAATCACTTTTAAGCCAATTTAGTTTATTAGTTCTGATAGTTTCACAATATTTTAAAAAAGGCAAAGACTTTGCATATTAATGTAAAAAATAGTTATTCCTGTTTGCTGGATTTAAAGTGAAATTAATGCCATCAAAACCAAATGTTAATTCCTTAGAAAATGTTAATTACAACAGTTAGAAATCACTAAAGAAATAATTTAAAAGAATGTAGTCTTAAAGCCTGTTTGAACAATTCTTTGGGTCTGTTCTTTTTCTCCCCCAAATTAGTACGAGTAGACGAAAACCAAACATGAGTTCATGTCATTTTCCTGAAATACTAATTTTTTGGGAGGGAGGCATGGGAAAGAGGCCTAATGAATCTTTCCTGTAGTGTGCATTAAAGGACAAGTGAGACAATTTTAAGATCCTGGGCTAATGAATTCAGATGTAATCCTTTATGTTATTACTATTTGATTTTTCAAAACCTATGATCCTTGTGAATGCAAGACAATGACACAACAAAGCACTGGGAAGCATAATGGTCTCAAATTTAACACTGCTGGGCGTATTTTTTCATTCCCTGCTTATGGACCATCTGTTGTTAAAAAGATTTGGAACCCAGCAGCAATAACCTAGGAATTATTTTCATGCTTATTAATAAAGGAATTAAAGGTGATAGTATGACACAGTGGGGAGCTTTCCCCCGTGTTCTGGTGCCTCTTTTTTTTTTTCTTTTAAACTCTTGGCCCTTATCGGGTTTACTTGTCCCATTCGTAATCTCATCAGCCGCATTTCCACTACCTAGACTTTCAAAGGAACACCAAGTGCTGCAGATAAAATGATGAAGGTGTAAAACCTCCTGCTCAGAATCTAAATCAGAATCGCATGTCAACACAGTTCAGGCTCAGTCTCTGGCAGGATCATTGTTTTTAATGCAATTTACTAATTAAAAATGAGTACCAGATTACGGAAAGTCTGGAAAGAAGCGGCTTGCAAAAATAGTATTTTAGCTCCTTGAACTGCCCGCACCAGAGTCTGCCTTTCATTAAAGTATAATTCATTTGAATATGGCTCGGCAATTACCGGATGCTCTTCTGAAAAGAACAAACGCGGCTTCTGTTTCATCATCAGCCCTCCGTGTTTGGACTGGAGCTGCTTTTACTACGGATGGAAATGTGCGGCAGGGCTGCGGCAGGTGTATTTTATTCAGCAGATGTACCGTAAACGCATTACAGCAGATTAGCTGGATTTCTTCCCTTAAATGTACACTGCGAGATCCAACTTGCAAGCCAGCTGTTTCTTACCGGCCCGTTTAATCTCCCAGAGCCCGGCTTTGCTTCTTCCTCTAGCAGCTATTTCTGTAGCGGATCGGGCGAGGGAGAGCGCCGCTATGAATTTTAATGCTTCCACCGGGGAATCCCTCCCGCCTCCTCTTTTTGGATGAGATCCTCGAGGAAAGACCCAGAACACAGCGAGGAGGAGGAGGAGAAGAGGAGGAGAGGGATGGCGTAGCCGCGGTATCGGGGAAAGCGGGAAGGGGGAGCCGCCGGCAGAGGGGGGCCGGCAGCCGGCGGGGTGTAATTAGGGAAGGTGGCGAGGACGACACCGAGGCGGGCAGAGGGGCGGGTGGGGAGCGCGGAGCCATGGGGGAGGAAGGAGGATGACTCGGGGCCTATTTCGCTGCCAGACCCCGGCACGTCAGCAGCAGCAGCAGCAGCGGCGGCGGCAAGCCGGAGCGC